TGGGCACCCAAGAGTCAGGGGCCATGTCCAGCAGGAGGCCTGAGTTGGGGTGGCTATACTATTCCTCCCCTCCCCACAGTTCCTGATGCCAGGGGGGTGCACTATGCTGGGGGCTCTGGGGGGCCACAGGGAACCACATGAGCAAAAGCCAGGGCTTTCTTCTTGGGCATGGGAGCTGTAGCAGGTTCCTGAGTCACAGGGACACAGTGCCAGCTAGAAGGCTGATGGGGTGAGGGGGTCCAACCTCGAGGACGCTCAGGTGGGCAGCACACTTGGATGTGGACTCGGACTCGGACTCAGACACTTCTGTCCCTGGACCTTGGCCCAGAACCGACAAGTTTCTGCCCACTCTCTACCTCTGCCCACTGTTGTGGCCCTGCAACTGGAGATCTGGGGTGCTCTGGTCTGTGGGTCAGCCCTCATCTTCCCTTCTCCCAGAATGGAGCTGACCAAGTAACCTCCGGGACAGGATGCTGCTCGGAGATGTGTTGGGGGTCTGGCTTCGCCCTGGAGAGGCAGTGACCTCTAGCTTTGAGGGACTCAGGGGGGTCAGGATGTCAAGTGCCTGCACCAGGGGTGCACAATAAAGGGAGTTCCCTCTTGCTCAGCTTGTGTCCCGGGCTCCGGCCCTGCTTCCTGGGAGGGGTGCCAGATCTCTGTGTATCTCATACCTTCAATTGGCCTAGCCCCACTAGACCCCTGCACTGGCCAGATCTCTCGAGTCCCCAGTCAGACAAGCCACCGTCTTCTGGCACCCCCCCCCCACACACACACACACCAGTTCTCTGGAGGATGTGAGAGCCCAGGGGGACCAGGGGAGGATCAGGCCAATGGGTTCTGAGAGGAACAGTGTGAGATGGCCACTTACAGGTTGACCCCAGCTCCCTGCTGGAGGATTCATTGGGCAGGCTTGGCTCTTGGCCCAGACTCAGACCCTCCCCTTGTCTCAGTGGTCAGAGGCTGGCGGCGGGGGGGGGGGGGGGGGGCAGCTGAGTATCTCTAGAAGCAAAGTCCGGCCACTTCAACCCTGGGGATTCGTGTGCTGAATCTGCTCCTACTGTTCACGGCAGCTTATATGTGGGGGGAAGAGTCTGAGCCCTGTTGGGGATCAGGCAGCATACCCAGGGGACAGGGACAGTCTGTGCCCTTGCCCTGGGCCTTGGGGGAAAAGCTGGAGACCACCTGAAGGTTGGAGCACCAGAGGATTGGTCAGTGTGATGGCCAGTCCTGGGGGGAACCCCTGGAGACCAGGCTGGGCCAAGTCCAGTGTTTGGGGATGGAGGATGGGAGCAGAACTGGGTACATGCCCCACCTTGGGAGCTTGGTCTAACACTAGACTCGGCTGAACCCATGGGCCCCACCACAGGGAGTAAGGGGAGGCCTCCAGGCAGAGGTGGGTGGAGTTCTACAGGCAGCGCAGGGCACAAAGGGCATGGGATGCAGGCAGTTTTGGTGTGAGTGGCCCTAAGCTGCCCCTGCTCTCTAGTCACCAGCTCATGAATGCTCCAGATCACCAGCAGAAGTCCAGGTGTAAAGCTGCTCTGGCCCAGCTTGACCTGCTGATTCATGGTGGGCAGGCAGGCGGGGCACAGGGTGGGGCAGGGGGCCCTGGGGATCCTCTCCCATGCCAGGTGAGGAGAGAGGAGGAGCTGGGGGTGCAAAAACACCCAAGGGGGACCTATAGGACCAGCCTCTCTGGCTGGCTGGGAGGCCTGGGGTCAGTGGGGATGCAGGCAAGACAGGTGCAGGAGGACCCCACATTTGGGGATGGAGCTCCAGGGGTAGGGCATCCTTCGGGGTGGGGTGTTGCCATCGCGAACAGGACGCACAGCCCAGGGGCCTCAAGCATGGCACCAGGTGGGGCTGGGGTGGGAGTTGGTGTACCCGCAGGTGGGCCGTGACTGGGGCTGGGGATAGAACTCCGGCGGGCTCAGCCTGCCTAGGATGGGCCCAGCGCCCTTGGGGGGGGGGAGATGAGTCATAAGGACTGGACCCCCGCCCCAGCAGAGGCGGACCGGGGTATGTCGGGGCTGCCTCCCGCCCGGGGGCCGAGCTGCGGGCGGCGCTCCCCTTCCCCCCGTCCCCACCCCAGCCTCCGGCCCTGCGCGCTGCCGGCGGGCGCCTCGGGTTTCCGGAGGGCCCGGGGGGCCGGCGGGGCGTCACGTGGG